GAACGTTAGTTCATTACAATGACGATTGTTACATTTATAGTGAAACATCCTACTTTGTTACTCATTAGCTTGTAAATGGACTGCAATAAAGTTATACATTTTATTATTATCATTATGTGCATTGTATGTATACATTGATATCACTAGTTGGCTACGTCGTTGTTCTTTAATACACCACAGACCTATTTTGTTTGTATCTTTGTGTCATTATCTATGTATAATGTATAAGAATTGTATTTACAAGTTCTGCATTGCTATTTATGCTCTTATGTTTGTTTATACTCTCATACCCCGAGAGGGGTTAAAAGAATCAATAAAATACCACGATTGTACAATTCTAAAATTAAGAGGTCATTGATGTATGATCTTTCATTCTAATGATTATCGCATATTTTCTATCACAAATAAATACGAGTTAAAGTGACAATAGTTGTCATTGATGTATGTTCCATTTATTCTGAGAATTATCGCCTATTTTCTATCACAAATAAATACGATTTTGTATATGGCTTGTAACAGGTGTCTTCTGAAGAGATATCAGATAAAAAAAAACAAGTGTATGTTTCATTTGAAGCAAAAAGATAACCTCCGGTAATGTTTTCAGAGCATTGATTTAAAGTAACACGATATGGAAATGTTCCAGTCGTTGTGAGCGAGTGTTGTTGGGATTACTCCTCAAAAATGAATCCTTATTCAGATATAAGGAGAAGTGAAAAGTTGAATAGGACGAAAAGTAATGAACCACACAGACATTTCAAAGAATAGTTTGCATAAATAATGTTTTTCAACTTAATTTCTCTGCGTGAATCATTAGATCCCAGCCCTAACTTGTTGCTTCATTTGCGCCTCGAAACCGTATGCACTTGGTCTTTATTAAAATGCAAAGATTATCGAAAAGAAAAAACGAATTCGATTTCCAATTCTCTAATTAGAATCGACAATTCTGTTAGCAGTACAAGTAAAATCTTAATATATCTAACCCGGTGCGTCATCGCATGTATCTCCAGTAAACCCCGCTGTGCATGTACATGTACCGTTGGCCGCACAGGTACCATTGTTCATACAGTCGCCGTCTGCAGTACAGTCTAATGAATTAGAGAAATTTCCCTTACTTCAATTACAAATCTTACATTCATCGTTATCGACCGAACCGCTTCAAAATCTTCGAATTCAAGAAAGGGGTAATTAGAATTGTAAACCTAGAAAGTTTGTAGACTTTTTCAACTTCTTAATGAAAACTCAAAAGGGGCGGGGGGGGATTGGCGGAACGTGAGTTCATTACAATGACGATCGTTACATTTATAGTGAAACATCCTACTTTGTTACTCTTTAGCTTGTAAATGGACTGCAATAAAGTTATACATTTTATTATTATAATTATGTGCATTGTATGTATACATTGATATCACTAGTTGGCTACGTAGTTGTTCTTTAATACACCTCAGACTTTTTTTGTTTGTATCTTTGTGTCATTATCTATGTATAATGTATAAAAATTGTATTTACAAGTTCTGCATTGCTATTTATGCTCTTATGTTTGTTTATACTCTCATACCCCGAGAGGGATTAAAGAATCAATAAAATACCACAATTGTACAATTCTAAAATTAAGAGGTCATTGATGTATTTTCTTTCATTCTAATGATTATCGCATATTTTCTATCACAAATAAATACGAGTTAAAGTGACAATAGATGTCATTGATGTATGTTCCTTTATTCTGAGGATTATCGCCTATTTTCTATCACAAATAAATACGATTTTATATATGGCTAGTAACAGGTGTCTTCTGAAGAGATATCAGATAAAAAACAAGTGTATGTTTCATTTGAAGCAAAAAGATAACTTCTGGTAATGTTTTCAGAACATTAATTTAAAGTAAGACGATGTGGATATCATTCATTTCATTTGTTCATTTATTTTCATCTTCATATAAAAACAATAGATCATTAGAATAATATACATTATATAAAAATTACATGCAATCTTACAAGTTAACAGTATCAAAAGACACCACAATTTGCTAGACGAAAAATAGAAAAGGGGAACTAGAATAAAGCCAAAGGGCCCTGTAAAAAAAGATCCGTAAAAGGATAAATTATCATTTGGTTTTTTCAACTTATTCTGTTACTTAAAGACTTGTAAACAAATTAAAAACAAACAGTGATTTAAAAAAAAAAAAAAAAAGCCAGAGGAACAGCAAAGTCTAAAATATGGGTATGTTTTATGTCAGTATTTGGACAAATAATCACAGTCGTTGTGAGCGAGTGTTGTTGGGATTACTCCTGAAAATGAATCCTTATTCAGATATAACGAGGAGTGGAAAGATGAATAGGACGAAAAGTAATGAACCACACAGACATTTCAAAGAATAGTTTGCATTAATAATGTTTTCCAACTTAATTTCTCTGCGTGAATTATGAGATCCCAGCCCTACGCTGTTGCTTCATTTGCGCCTTGTAACCATATGCACTTGGTCTTTATTAAAATGCAAAGAGTATTGAGAAGAAAAAGCATATTCCATTTTCAATTCTCGAATTAGAATCGAAATTTTTGTTAACAGTACCAGTAAAATCTTGATATATTACCCTGTGCGTCATCGCATGTAGCTCCAGTAAACCCCGCTGTGCATGTACATGTACCGTCGGTCGCACAGGTACCACCGTTCATACAGTCGCCGTCTGCAGTACAGTCTAATGAAGGAGAGAAATTACCCTTACTTTAATAACAAATCTTACATTCATCGTTATCGACCGAACCGCTTCAAAATCTTCAAATTTAAGAATGGGGTAATTAGAATTGTAAATCTAGAAAGTGTGTAGACTTTTTCAACTTCTTAATGAACACTCGAAAGGGGGGGGGGATTGGTGGAACGTATGACTTTACAATGACGATGGTGACATTTATAGTGAAACATCCTACTTTGTTACTCTTTAGCTTGAAAATAGACTGCAATAAAGTTATACATTTTTTTATTATTACTATGTGCATTGTACGTATACATTGTGATCATCAGTTGGCTACTTCGTTTAAGTTTGTTCTTTAATACACCACAGACCTATTTTGTTTGTATCCTTGTGTCATTATCTATGTATAATGTATAATAATTGTATTCACGAGTTCTGCATTGCTATTTATTCTTTTACGTTTATTCATACTCTCATACCCCGAGAGGGGTTAAAAGAATCAATAAAATACCACGATTGTACAATTCTAAAATTAAGAGGTCATTGATGTATGTTCTTTCATTCTGATGGTTATCGCATATTTTCTATCACAAATAAAAACGATTTTATATATGGCTAGTAACAGATGTCTTCTAAAGAGATATCAGATAAAAAAAAAAAACAAGTGTATGTTTTATTTGAAGCAAAAAGATAACTTCTGGTAATGTTTTCAGAACATTAATTTAAAGTAAGACGATGTGGATATCATTCATTTCATTTGTTCATTTATTTTCATCTTCATATAAAAACAATAGATTATTAGTATAATATACATTATATAAAAATTACATGCAATCTTACAAGTTAACAGAAGACACTTTCAAAAAGAAACTTAAAACCCAACTCTTTCCATCTTGAATCTATAATGTACATTTTGAGTAGCTAAAAAAAAATTCGTTCATAATATCTTAATTACTATTCCTTGTTTAATTGTTATGATTTGTATGTTTCTTTTCTGTTGTATAGCGCTCTGATCAGTTTGTCTGTAGTAGCGCTCAACAAGAATCAATTATTATTATTATTATTAGAAACCATCCTTTGATAATAACCTTCGCAGAAATAATGACGGTGTTGAAGCAAAATTAGGCATATGGGCTCAAATTAAAATGCGCGGGAATTTTCGAAACTTTTTTAAATTGACATTTCCACTCGACCATGACACATTTCCCCATTCAGGCTCTTTATGGAGGCTTTTCTGACATAACATGAAGTCATGTATGCAGACTGGATAGGAAGTCTTGTAGTTCAGTCATTGATGATATTTTAAAGGGACTCGGTAACATTCTTCAGATGAAACAAAATGGTGCTAGTGTGGTGACGTCAATACAGTGCCTTAAAATAGCTTCACACGTAGCAGTCCACTATGTCGACGTGCAAATCTAAAAGTCTCTAATGCAGAGACACCATCACAAAAGCCTTGACTGGCGAAGTCATACAAAACACACACGTCTCAGTCATTAAAGAAATAACCCAGACCCAATAAGACATAAGTTACACAGAACGACAGCAACACACAGAGCAAAACCTCCGTCGTACAAAACGTCACAACAAGATAGGTTGGACTTATGAAATCAAACAATAACAAAACAAAACAAAACAAAACAAAACGCACACTTTGTAAATAGTTCTTGTTGTGTATCATAATGTAATTGATAAGACGAAAAGATGAGATCAGAGTGATATGTTGTGATTTGATAATTATGCTCAATATTGTTTGGTAATCTGTATATTGGAAAATCGCTTCGACTGATATTTTGCTCAGTGGGGAGGAAGGACGGGGGCGGAGGGAGGGGGGGTAGTGACAACTTATTATTACATTTTTATTTGTTCCCGCATATGGGAAAATCGCGTCGACCAATATTTCGCTTGGTTGGTTGGGGGAGGGGTTAAAGGAGCATTTATTATTTTTCATGCAGCACAACCCCTCCCCAACCCTTGAGCAAAAAAAAAAATTAAAAAAGTGAGGTGGGTTTAACCCCCCTCCCCCCCCCCCCCCAACTATGTGTCCGCGACTAATGTAGAGCCCCAGACTCAGTGTTATTGGAGACTTACAGTTTTCGACATTCTTCTATTGATTGACACTGTAGCTTGATTCACACTTTTGTTATTTTGGAAGATAGAATGATTCTTAGAGCAAAGTTTGTTCGTCAGTTCCTCGCTTTGAATCAACTAATAAAGGTCAATGAACTAAAATTATCATTGTGACTTTTCATTGGTGATCGAATGGAGATGCGAAGCCTGAGTTGAAAGGTAGGAGGTTTGAAGAAATCTTACCTCCGCCACAGGTTAAATTAGCTGGACAGGTGCACGTACCCGACTCACAAGTCTTTCCGTTCTCGCAACCCGCGTCAACGGTACAGGTGACTGTAAAGAACCAATGACAATTGTGAACAAGTATGAGATGGTCTGTATTTAAGTTCTTTTATTGACAATAAAAACGACTAAAAAGAACCTGAATACGATGATGATGGTGATAATCCTAAAGATAACTGTATTGATAACGACTGTGATGATGATGAATTACGACGACTTCAATGTCATTATACTAATTTTATACTATTCAGTTCTTAGTTTCAAACCGAGTCGCTATCCCGTTTTTATTCTAGATATGAACATAACTTCAGGACAAAGTAAAAAGGGTCTACTGTCGTCATTGACATTCATTAAGCAGTTTCGGACTATTTGAGGCGATAAGTGTACCAAGTTTCAAAGGGATAGACCTTGACGTTTTTACACGTATAACCTTTTGTGTGTAAATAAATTACTAAAGGTCCAAAACATTCAAAAGCATGCGGAAACAATCCTTTGATAATTAACTTTGCAGAAAACAAAACAAAACAAAACACACAATTTGTAAATAGTTCTTGTTGTGTATCATAATGTAATTGATAAGACGAAAAGATGAGATCAGAGTAATATGTTGTGATTTGATAATTATGCTCAATATTGTTTGGTAATCTGTATATTGGAAAATCGCTTCGACTGATATTTTGCTCAGTGGGGAGGAAGGACGGGGGCGGAGGAGAGGGGGGGGGGGGTAGTGACAACTTATTATTACATTTTTGTTTGTTCCCGCATATGGGAAAATCGCGTCGACCAATATTTCGCTTGGTTGGGGGGGGGAGGGGTTAAAGGAGCTTTAATTCTTTTGTTTATGCAGCACAACCCCTCCCCAACCCTTGAGCAAAAAATAAATAAAAAGTGAGGTGGGTTTAACCCCCCCCCCCCCCCCCCAACCATGTGTTCGCGACTAATGTAGAGCCCCAGACTCAGTGTTATTGGAGACTTACAGTTTTCGACATTCTTTTATTGATTGACCCTGTAGCTTGATTCACACTTTTGTTATTTTGGAAGATAGAATGATTCTTAGAGCAAAGTTTGTTCGTCAGTTCCTCGCTTTGAATCAACTAATAAAGGTCAATGCACTAAAATTAACATTGTGACTTTTCATCGGGGATCGAATGGAAATGCGAAGCCTGAGGTGAAGGTAGGAGGTTTAAAGATATCTTACCTCCGTCACAGGTTGAACCAGCTGGACAGGTGCATGTACCCGACTCACAAGTCTCTTCGTATCGGCAACCCGCGTTATCGGTACAGTTGACTGTAAAGAACCAATGGCAATTGTCAACAAGTATGAGATGGTCTGTATTTAAGTTCTTTTAATGACAATACAAACGACTGAAAAGAACCTGAACACGATGATGATGGTGATAATCATAAAGATTACTGTATTGATAACGACTGTGATGATGATAAATTACGACGACTACAATGTCATTATACCAATTTTATACTATTCAGTTCTAAGTTTCAAACCGAGTCGCTGTCCCGTTTTTGTTTTAGATATGAACATAACTTCAGGACAAAGTAAAAACGGTCTACTATCGTCATTGACATTCATTGAGCAGTTTCGGACTATTTGAGGCGATAAGTGTACCAAGTTTCAAAGGGATAGACCTTAACGTTTTTACATGTATAACCTATTGTGTGTAATTAAATTACTAAAGGTCCAAAACATTCAAAAGCATGCGGAAACAATCCTTTGATAATTAACTTTGCAGAAAACAAAACAAAAAAAAACACACAATTTGTAAATAGTTCTTGTTGTGTATCATAATGTAATTGATATAAGACGAAAAGATGAGATCAGAGTAATATGTTGTGATTTGATAATTATGCTCAATATTGTTTGGTAATCTGTATATTGGAAAATCGCTTCGACTGATATTTTGCTCAGTGGGGAGGAAGGACGGGGGCGGAGGAGAGGGGGGGGGGTAGTGACAACTTATTATTACATTTTTTATTTGTTCCCGCATATGGGAAAATCGCGTCGACCAATATTTCGCTTGGTTGGTTGGGGGAGGGGTTAAAGGAGCATTTATTTTTTTTCATGCAGCACAACCCTCCCCAACCCTTGAGCAAAAAAATTAAAAGTGAGTGGGTGGGTTTAACCCCCCCCCCCCCCCAACCATGTGTTCGCGACTGATGTAGAGCCCTAGACTCGGTGTTATTGGAGACTTACAGTTTTCGACATTCTTTTATTGATTGACACTGTAGCTTGATTCACACTTTTGTTATTTTGGAAGATAGAATGATTCTTAGAGCAAAGTTCGTCAGTTCCTCGCTTTGAATCAACTAATAAAGGTCAATGCACTAAAATTAACATTGTGACTTTTCATCGGGGATCGAATGGAAATGCGAAGCCTGAGTTGAAAGGTAGGAGGTTTAAAGAAATCTTACCTCCGTCACAGGTTAAATTAGCTGGACAGGTGCATGTACCCGACTCACAAGTCTTTCCGTTCTCGCAACCCGCGTCAACGGTACAGGTGACTGTAAAGAACCAATGACAATTGTGAACAAGTATGATGAGATGGTCTGTATTTAAGTTCTTTTAATGACAATACAAACGACTGAAAAGAACCTGAACACGATGATGATGGTGATAATCATAAAGATTACTGTATTGATAACGACTGTGATGATGATAAATTACGACGACTACAATGTCATTATACCAATTTTATACTATTCAGTTCTAAGTTTCAAACCGAGTCGCTGTCCCGTTTTTGTTTTAGATATGAACATAACTTCAGGACAAAGTAAAAACGGTCTACTATCGTCATTGACATTCATTGAGCAGTTTCGGACTATTTGAGGCGATAAGTGTACCAAGTTTCAAAGGGATAGACCTTAACGTTTTTACATGTATAACCTATTGTGTGTAATTAAATTACTAAAGGTCCAAAACATTCAAAAGCATGCGGAAACAATCCTTTGATAATTAACTTTGCAGAAAACAAAACAAAACAAAACACACAATTTGTAAATAGTTCTTGTTGTGTATCATAATGTAATTGATATAAGACGAAAAGATGAGATCAGAGTAATATGTTGTGATTTGATAATTATGCTCAATATTGTTTGGTAATCTGTATATTGGAAAATCGCTTCGACTGATATTTTGCTCAGTGGGGAGGAAGGACGGGGGCGGAGGAGAGGGGGGGGGGGGTAGTGACAACTTATTATTACATTTTTTATTTGTTCCCGCATATGGGAAAATCGCGTCGACCAATATTTCGCTTGGTTGGTTGGGGGAGGGGTTAAAGGAGCATTTATTTTTTTTCATGCAGCACAACCCCTCCCCAACCCTTGAGCAAAAAAAAAATTAAAAAGGTGAGGTGGGTTTAACCCCCCCCCCCCCCAACCATGTGTTCGCGACTGATGTAGAGCCCTAGACTCGGTGTTATTGGAGACTTACAGTTTTCGACATTCTTTTATTGATTGACACTGTAGCTTGATTCACACTTTTGTTATTTTGGAAGATAGAATGATTCTTAGAGCAAAGTTCGTCAGTTCCTCGCTTTGAATCAACTAATAAAGGTCAATGCACTAAAATTAACATTGTGACTTTTCATCGGGGATCGAATGGAAATGCGAAGCCTGAGTTGAAAGGTAGGAGGTTTAAAGAAATCTTACCTCCGTCACAGGTTAAATTAGCTGGACAGGTGCATGTACCCGACTCACAAGTCTTTCCGTTCTCGCAACCCGCGTCAACGGTACAGGTGACTGTAAAGAACCAATGACAATTGTGAACAAGTATGATGAGATGGTCTGTATTTAAGTTCTTTTAATGACAATACAAACGACTGAAAAGAACCTGAACACGATGATGATGGTGATAATCATAAAGATTACTGTATTGATAACGACTGTGATGATGATAAATTACGACGACTACAATGTCATTATACCAATTTTATACTATTCAGTTCTAAGTTTCAAACCGAGTCGCTGTCCCGTTTTTGTTTTAGATATGAACATAACTTCAGGACAAAGTAAAAACGGTCTACTATCGTCATTGACATTCATTAAGCAGTTTCGGACTATTTGAGGCGATAAGTGTACCAAGTTTCAAAGGGATAGACCTTGACGTTTTTACATGTATAACCTTTTGTGTGTAATTAAATTACTAAAGGTCCAAAACATTCAAAAGCATGCGGAAACAATCCTTTGATAATTAACTTTGCAGAAAACAAAACAAAACAAAACACACAATTTGTAAATAGTTCTTGTTGTATATCATAATGTAATTGATAAGACGAAAAGATGAGATCAGAGTAATAAGTTGTGATTTGATAATTATGCTCAATATTGTTTGGTAATCTGTATATTGGAAAATCGCTTCGACTGATATTTTGCTCAGTGGGGAGGAAGGACGGGGGCGGAGGAGAGGGGGGGGGGGGGGTAGTGACAACTTATTATTACATTTTTATTTCTTCCCGCATATCGGAAAATCGCGTCGACCAATATTTCGCTTGGTTGGGGGGGGGGGGGGGGGTTAAAGGAGCTTTAATTCTTTTGTTTATGCAGCACAACCCCTCCCCAACCCTTGAGCAAAAAAAAAATAAAAAGTGAGGTGGGTTTAACCCCCCCCCCCCCCCCCCCCCCCAACCATGTGTTCGCGACTGATGTAGAGCCCCAGACTCGGTGTTATTGGAGACTTACAGTTTTCGACATTCTTTTATTGATTGACACTGTAGCTTGATTCACACTTTTGTTATTTAGGAAGATAGAATGATTCTTAGAGCAAAGTTTGTTCGTCAGTTCCTCGCTTTGAATCAACTAATAAAGGTCAATGCACTAAAATTAACATTGTGACTTTTCATCGGGGATCGAATGGAAATGCGAAGCCTGAGTTGAAAGGTAGGAGGTTTAAAGAAATCTTACCTCCGTCACAGGTTAAATTAGCTGGACAGGTGCATGTACCCGACTCACAAGTCTCTTCGTATCGGCAACCCGCGTTATCGGTACAGTTGACTGTAAAGAACCAATGGCAATTGTGAACAAGTATGAGATGGTCTGTATTTAAGTTCTTTTCTTGACAATAAAAACGACTAAAAGGAACCTGAATACGATGATGATGGTGATAATCCTAAAGATAACTGTATTGATAACGACTGTGATGATGATGAATTACGACGACTTCAATGTCATTATACTAATTTTATACTATTCAGTTCTTAGTTTCAAACCGAGTCGCTATCCCGTTTTTATTCTAGATATGAACATAACTTCAGGACAAAGTAAAAAGGGTCTACTGTCGTCATTGACATTCATTAAGCAGTTTCGGACTATTTGAGGCGATAAGTGTACCAAGTTTCAAAGGGATAGACCTTGACGTTTTTACACGTATAACCTTTTGTGTGTAAATGAATTACTAAAGGTCCAAAACATTCAAAAGCATGCGGAAACAATCCTTTGATAATTAACTTTGCAGAAAACAAAACAAAACAAAACACACAATTTGTAAATAGTTCTTGTTGTGTATCATAATGTAATTGATAAGACGAAAAGATGAGATCAGAGTAATATGTTGTGATTTGATAATTATGCTCAATATTGTTTGGTAATCTGTATATTGGAAAATCGCTTCGACTGATATTTTGCTCAGTGGGGAGGAAGGACGGGGGCGGAGGAGAGGGGGGGGGGGGGGTAGTGACAACTTATTATTACATTTTTATTTGTTCCCGCATATGGGAAAATCGCGTCGACCAATATTTCGCTTGGTTGGTTGGGGGAGGGGTTAAAGGAGCATTTATTATTTTTCATGCAGCACAACCCCTCCCCAACCCTTGAGCAAAAAAAAAATTAAAAAAGTGAGGTGGGTTTAACCCCCCTCCCCCCCCCCCCCCCCCCCCCCCCCCCCCCAACTATGTGTCCGCGACTAATGTAGAGCCCCAGACTCAGTGTTATTGGAGACTTACAGTTTTCGACATTCTTCTATTGATTGACACTGTAGCTTGATTCACACTTTTGTTATTTTGGAAGATAGAATGATTCTTAGAGCAAAGTTTGTTCGTCAGTTCCTCGCTTTGAATCAACTAATAAAGGTCAATGAACTAAAATTATCATTGTGACTTTTCATTGGTGATCGAATGGAGATGCGAAGCCTGAGTTGAAAGGTAGGAGGTTTGAAGAAATCTTACCTCCGCCACAGGTTAAATTAGCTGGACAGGTGCACGTACCCGACTCACAAGTCTTTCCGTTCTCGCAACCCGCGTCAACGGTACAGGTGACTGTAAAGAACCAATGACAATTGTGAACAAGTATGAGATGGTCTGTATTTAAGTTCTTTTATTGACAATAAAAACGACTAAAAAGAACCTGAATACGATGATGATGGTGATAATCCTAAAGATAACTGTATTGATAACGACTGTGATGATGATGAATTACGACGACTTCAATGTCATTATACTAATTTTATACTATTCAGTTCTTAGTTTCAAACCGAGTCGCTATCCCGTTTTTATTCTAGATATGAACATAACTTCAGGACAAAGTAAAAAGGGTCTACTGTCGTCATTGACATTCATTAAGCAGTTTCGGACTATTTGAGGCGATAAGTGTACCAAGTTTCAAAGGGATAGACCTTGACGTTTTTACACGTATAACCTTTTGTGTGTAAATAAATTACTAAAGGTCCAAAACATTCAAAAGCATGCGGAAACAATCCTTTGATAATTAACTTTGCAGAAAACAAAACAAAACAAAACACACAATTTGTAAATAGTTCTTGTTGTGTATCATAATGTAATTGATAAGACGAAAAGATGAGATCAGAGTAATATGTTGTGATTTGATAATTATGCTCAATATTGTTTGGTAATCTGTATATTGGAAAATCGCTTCGACTGATATTTTGCTCAGTGGGGAGGAAGGACGGGGCGAGGGAGAGGGGGGGGGGGGGTAGTGACAACTTATTATTACATTTTTTGTTTGTTCCCGCATATGGGAAAATCGCGTCGACCAATATTTCGCTTGGTTGGGGGGGGAGGGGTTAAAGGAGCTTTAATTCTTTTGTTTATGCAGCACAACCCTCCCCCACCCTTGAGCAAAAAATAAATAAAAAGGTGAGGTGGGTTTAACCCCCCCCCCCCCCCAACCATGTGTTCGCGACTAATGTAGAGCCCCAGACTCAGTGTTATTGGAGACTTACAGTTTTCGACATTCTTTTATTGATTGACCCTGTAGCTTGATTCACACTTTTGTTATTTTGGAAGATAGAATGATTCTTAGAGCAAAGTTTGTTCGTCAGTTCCTCGCTTTGAATCAACTAATAAAGGTCAATGCACTAAAATTAACATTGTGACTTTTCATCGGGGATCGAATGGAAATGCGAAGCCTGAGGTGAAAGGTAGGAGGTTTAAAGATATCTTACCTCCGTCACAGGTTGAACCAGCTGGACAGGTGCATGTACCCGACTCACAAGTCTCTTCGTATCGGCAACCCGCGTTATCGGTACAGTTGACTGTAAAGAACCAATGGCAATTGTCAACAAGTATGAGATGGTCTGTATTTAAGTTCTTTTAATGACAATACAAACGACTGAAAAGAACCTGAACACGATGATGATGGTGATAATCATAAAGATTACTGTATTGATAACGACTGTGATGATGATAAATTACGACGACTACAATGTCATTATACCAATTTTATACTATTCAGTTCTAAGTTTCAAACCGAGTCGCTGTCCCGTTTTTGTTTTAGATATGAACATAACTTCAGGACAAAGTAAAAACGGTCTACTATCGTCATTGACATTCATTGAGCAGTTTCGGACTATTTGAGGCGATAAGTGTACCAAGTTTCAAAGGGATAGACCTTAACGTTTTTACATGTATAACCTATTGTGTGTAATTAAATTACTAAAGGTCCAAAACATTCAAAAGCATGCGGAAACAATCCTTTGATAATTAACTTTGCAGAAAACAAAACAAAACAAAACACACAATTTGTAAATAGTTCTTGTTGTGTATCATAATGTAATTGATATAAGACGAAAAGATGAGATCAGAGTAATATGTTGTGATTTGATAATTATGCTCAATATTGTTTGGTAATCTGTATATTGGAAAATCGCTTCGACTGATATTTTGCTCAGTGGGGAGGAAGGACGGGGGCGGAGGAGAGGGGGGGGGGGGGGGTAGTGACAACTTATTATTACATTTTTATTTGTTCCCGCATATGGGAAAATCGCGTCGACCAATATTTCGCTTGGTTGGTTGGGGGAGGGGTTAAAGGAGCATTTTTTTTTTTTCATGCAGCACAACCCCTCCCCAACCCTTGAGCAAAAAAAAATTAAAAAGGTGAGGTGGGTTTAAACCCCCCCCCCCCCCCCCCCAACCATGTGTTCGCGACTGATGTAGAGCCCTAGACTCGGTGTTATTGGAGACTTACAGTTTTCGACATTCTTTTATTGATTGACACTGTAGCTTGATTCACACTTTTGTTATTTTGGAAGATAGAATGATTCTTAGAGCAAAGTTCGTCAGTCCTCCTCGCTTTGAATCAACTAATAAAGGTCAATGCACTAAAATTAACATTGTGACTTTTCATCGGGGATCGAATGGAAATGCGAAGCCTGAGTTGAAAGGTAGGAGGTTTAAAGAAATCTTACCTCCGTCACAGGTTGAACCAGCTGGACAGGTGCATGTACCCGACTCACAAGTCTCTTCGTATCGGCAACCCGCGTTATCGGTACAGTTGACTGTAAAGAACCAATGGCAATTGTCAACAAGTATGAGATGGTCTGTATTTAAGTTCTTTTAATGACAATACAAACGACTGAAAAGAACCTGAACACGATGATGATGGTGATAATCATAAAGATTACTGTATTGATAACGACTGTGATGATGATAAATTACGACGACTACAATGTCATTATACCAATTTTATACTATTCAGTTCTAAGTTTCAAACCGAGTCGCTGTCCCGTTTTTGTTTTAGATATGAACATAACTTCAGGACAAAGTAAAAACGGTCTACTATCGTCATTGACATTCATTGAGCAGTTTCGGACTATTTGAGGCGATAAGTGTACCAAGTTTCAAAGGGATTGACCTTGACGTTTTTACATGTATAACCTTTTGTGTGTAATTAAATTACTAAAGGTCCAAAACATTCAAAAGCATGCGAAAACAATCCTTTGATAATTAACTTTGCAGAAAACAAAACAAAACAAAACACACAATTTGTAAATAGTTCTTGTTGTATATCATAATGTAATTGATAAGACGAAAAGATGAGATCAGAGTAATATGTTGTGATTTGATAATTATGCTCAATATTGTTTGGTAATCTGTATATTGGAAAATCGCTTCGACTGATATTTTGCTCAGTGGGGAGGAAGGACGGGGGCGGAGGAGAGGGGGGGGGGGTAGTGACAACTTATTATTACATTTTTTATTTGTTCCCGCATATGGGAAAATCGCGTCGACCAATATTTCGCTTGGTTGGTTGGGGGAGGGGTTAAAGGAGCATTTATTTTTTTTCATGCAGCACAACCCCTCCCCAACCCTTGAGCAAAAAAAAAATTAAAAGGTGAGGTGGGTTTAACCCCCCCCCCCCCCCACCCATGTGTTCGCGACTGATGTAGAGCCCCAGACTCGGTGTTATTGGAGACTTACAGTTTTCGACATTCTTTTATTGATTGACACTGTAGCTTGATTCACACTTTTGTTATTTTGGAAGATAGAATGATTCTTAGAGCAAAGTTCGTCAGTTCCTCGCTTTGAATCAACTAATAAAGGTCAATGCACTAAAATTAACATTGTGACTTTTCATCGGGGATCGAATGGAAATGCGAAGCCTGAGTTGAAAGGTAGGAGGTTTAAAGAAATCTTACCTCCGTCACAGGTTAAATTAGCTGGACAGGTGCATGTACCCGACTCACAAGTCTTTCCGTTCTCGCAACCCGCGTCAACGGTACAGGTGACTGTAAAGAACCAATGACAATTGTGAACAAGTATGATGAGATGGTCTGTATTTAAGTTCTTTTAATGACAATACAAACGACTGAAAAGAACCTGAACACGATGATGATGGTGATAATCATAAAGATTACTGTATTGATAACGACTGTGATGATGATAAATTACGACGACTACAATGTCATTATACCAATTTTATACTATTCAGTTCTAAGTTTCAAACCGAGTCGCTGTCCCGTTTTTGTTTTAGATATGAACATAACTTCAGGACAAAGTAAAAACGGTCTACTATCGTCATTGACATTCATTAAGCAGTTTCGGACTATTTGAGGCGATAAGTGTACCAAGTTTCAAAGGGATAGACCTTGACGTTTTTACATGTATAACCTTTTGTGTGTAATTAAATTACTAAAGGTCCAAAACATTCAAAAGCATGCGGAAACAATCCTTTGATAATTAACTTTGCAGAAAACAAAACAAAACAAAACACACAATTTGTAAATAGTTCTTGTTGTATATCATAATGTAATTGATAAGACGAAAAGATGAGATCAGAGTAATAAGTTGTGATTTGATAATTATGCTCAATATTGTTTGGTAATCTGTATATTGGAAAATCGCTTCGACTGATATTTTGCTCAGTGGGGAGGAAGGACGGGGGCGGAGGAGAGGGGGGGGGGGGGGTAGTGACAACTTATTATTACATTTTTATTTCTTCCCGCATATGGGAAAATCGCGTCGACCAATATTTCGCTTGGTTGGGGGGGGGAGGGGTTAAAGGAGCTTTAATTCTTTTGTTTATGCAGCACAACCCCTCCCCAACCCTTGAGCAAAAAATAAATAAAAAGGTGAGGTGGGTTTAACCCCCCCCCCCCCCCCCAACCATGTGTTCGCGACTAATGTAGAGCCCCAGACTCAGTGTTATTGGAGACTTACAGTTTTCGACATTCTTTTATTGATTGACCCTGTAGCTTGATTCACACTTTTGTTATTTTGGAAGATAGAATGATTCTTAGAGCAAAGTTTGTTCGTCAGTTCCTCGCTTTGAATCAACTAATAAAGGTCAATGCACTAAAATTAACATTGTGACTTTTCATCGGGGATCGAATGGAAATGCGAAGCCTGAGGTGAAAGGTAGGAGGTTTAAAGATATCTTACCTCCGTCACAGGTTGAACCAGCTGGACAGGTGCATGTACCCGACTCACAAGTCTCTTCGTATCGGCAACCCGCGTTATCGGTACAGTTGACTGTAAAGAACCAATGGCAATTGTGAACAAGTATGAGATGGTCTGTATTTAAGTTCTTTTATTTACAATAAAAACGACTAAAAAGAACCTGAACACGATGATGATTGTGATAATCTTAAAGATAACTGTATTGATAACGACTGTGATGATGATGAATTACGACGACTACAATGTCATTTTTACTAATTTTATACTATTCAGTTCTAAGTTTCAAACCGAGTCGCTGTCACGTTTTTTTTCTAGATATGAACATAACTTCAGGACAAAGTAAAAACGGTCTACTATCGTCATTGACATTCATTAAGCAGTTCCGGACTATTTGAGGCGATAAGTGTACCAAGTTTCAAAGGGATAGACCTTAACGTTTTTACATGTATAACCTATTGTGTGTAATTAAATTACTAAAGGTCCAAAACATTCAAAAGCATGCGGAAACAATCCTTTGATAATTAACTTTGCAGAAAACAAAACAAAACAAACACACAATTTGTAAATAGTTCTTGTTGTGTATCATAATGTAATTGATATAAGACGAAAAGATGAGATCAGAGTAATATGTTGTGATTTGATAATTATGCTCAATATTGTTTGGTAATCTGTATATTGGAAAATCGCTTCGACTGATATTTTGCTCAGTGGGGAGGAAGGACGGGGGCGGAGGGAGGGGGGGGGGGTAGTGATAACTTATTATTACATTTTTGTTTGTTCCCGCATATGGGAAAATCGCGTCGACCAATATTTCGCTTGGTTGGTTGGGGGAGGGGTTAAAGGAGCATTTATTATTTTTCATGCAGCACAACCCCTCCCCAACCCTTGAGCAAAAAAAAAAATTAAAAAAGTGAGGTGGGTTTAACCCCCCCCCCCCCCCCCCCCCAAACCATGTGTTCGCGACTGATGTAGAGCCCCAGACTCAGTGTTATTAGAGACTTACAGTTTTCGACATTCTTCTATTGATTGACATTGTAGCTTGATTCACACTTTTGTTATTTTGGAAGATAGAATGATTCTTAGGGCAAAGTTTGTTCGTCAGTTCCTCGCTTTGAATCAACTAATAAAGGTCAATGCACTAAAATTAACATTGTGACTTTTCATTGGTGATCGAATGGAGATGCGAAGCCTGAGTTGAAAGGTAGGAGGTTTGAAGAAATCTTACCTCCGCCACAGGTTAAATTAGCTGGACAGGTGCACGTACCCGACTCACAAGTCTTTCCGTTCTCGCAACCCGCGTCAACGGTACAGGTGACTGTAAAGAACCAATGACAATTGTGAACAAGTATGAGATGGTCTGTATTTAAGTTCTTTTATTGACAATAAAAACGACTAAAAAGAACCTGAACACGATGATGATGGTGATAATCTTAAATATAACTGTATTGATAACGACTGTGATGATGATGAATTACGACAACTACAATGTCATTATACCAATTTTATACTATTCAGTTCTTAGTTTCAAACCGAGTCGCTATCCCGTTTTTATTCTAGATATGAACATAACTTCAGGACAAAGTAAAAACGGTCTACTATCGTCATTGACATTCATTAAGCAGTTTCGGACTATTTGAGGCGATAAGTGTACCAAGTTTCAAAGGGATAGACCTTAACGTTTTTACATGTATAACCTATTGTGTGTAATTAAATTACTAAAGGTCCAAAACATTCAAAAGCATGCGGAAACAATCCTTTGATAATTAACTTTGCAGAAAACAAAACAAAACAAAACACACAATTTTGTAAATAGTTCTTGTTGTGTATCATAATGTAATTGATATAAGACGAAAAGATGAGATCAGAGTAATATGTTGTGATTTGATAATTATGCTCAATATTGTTTGGTAATCTGTATATTGGAAAATCGCTTCGACTGATATTTTGCTCAGTGGGGAGGAAGGACGGGGGCGGAGGGAGGGGGGGGGGGTAGTGACAACTTATTATTACATTTTTATTTGTTCCCGCATATGGGGAAAATCGCGTCGACCAATATTTCGCTGGTTGGGGGGGGGGGGGGGGGGAGTTGTTAAAGGAGCTTTAATTCTTTTGTTTATGCAGCACAACCCCTCCCCAACCCTTGAGCAAAAAAAAATAAAAAGTGAGGTGGGTTTAACCCCCCCCCCCCCCCCCCAACCATGTGTTTGCGACTGATGTAGAGCCCCAGACTCGGTGTTATTGGAGACTTACAGTTTTCGACATTCTTTTATTGATTGACACTGTAGCTTGATTCACACTTTTGTTATTTTGGAAGAAAGAATGATTCTTAGAGCAAAGTTTGTTTGTCAGTTCCTCGCTTTGAATCAACTAATAAAGGTCAATGAACTAAAATTAACATTGTGACTTTTCATCGGGGATCGAATGGAAATGCGAAGCCTGAGTTGAAAGGTAGGAGGTTTAAAGAAATCTTACCTCCGTCACAGGTTAAATTAGCTGGACAGGTGCATGTACCCGACTCACAAGTCTCTTCGTATCGGCAACCCGCGTTATCGGTACAGTTGACTGTAAAGAACCAATGGCAATTGTGAACAAGTATGAGATGGTCTGTATTTAAGTTCTTTTATTTACAATAAAAACGACTAAAAAGAACCTGAACACGATGATGATTGTGATAATCTTAAAGATAACTGTATTGATAACGACTGTGATGATGATGAATTACGACGACTACAATGTCATTTTTACTAATTTTATACTATTCAGTTCTAAGTTTCAAACCGAGTCGCTGTCACGTTTTTTTCTAGATATGAACATAACTTCAGGACAAAGTAAAAACGGTCTACTATCGTCATTGACATTCATTAAGCAGTTTCGGACTATTTGAGGCGATAAGTGTACCAAGTTTCAAAGGGATAGACCTTAACGTTTTTACATGTATAACCTATTGTGTGTAATTAAATTACTAAAGGTCCAAAACATTCAAAAGCATGCGGAAACAATCCTTTGATAATTAACTTTGCAGAAAACAAAACAAAACAAAACACACAATTTGTAAATAGTTCTTGTTGTGTATCATAATGTAATTGATATAAGACGAAAAGATGAGATCAGAGTAATATGTTGTGATTTGATAATTATGCTCAATATTGTTTGGTAATCTGTATATTGGAAAATCGCTTCGACTGATATTTTGCTCAGTGGGGAGGAAGGACGGGGGCGGAGGGAGGGGGGGGTAGTGACAACTTATTATTACATTTTTGTTTGTTCCCGCATATGGGAAAATCGCGTCGACCAATATTTCGCTTGGTTGGTTGGGGGAGGGGTTAAAGGAGCATTTATTATTTTTCATGCAGCACAACCCCTCCCCAACCCTTGAGCAAAAAAAATAATAAAAAAGTGAGGTGGGTTTAACCCCCCCCCCCCCCCCAACCATGTGTTCGCGACTGATGTAGAGCCCCAGACTCAGTGTTATTAGAGACTTACAGTTTTCGACATTCTTCTATTGATTGACATTGTAGCTTGATTCACACTTTTGTTATTTTGGAAGATAGAATGATTCTTAGGGCAAAGTTTGTTCGTCAGTTCCTCGCTTTGAATCAACTAATAAAGGTCAATGCACTAAAATTAACATTGTGACTTTTCATTGGTGATCGAATGGAGATGCGAAGCCTGAGTTGAAAGGTAGGAGGTTTGAAGAAATCTTACCTCCGCCACAGGTTAAATTAGCTGGACAGGTGCACGTACCCGACTCACAAGTCTCTTCGTATCGGCAACCCGCGTTATCGGTACAGTTGACTGTAAAGAACCAATGACAATTGTGAACAAGTATGAGATGGTCTGTATTTAAGTTCTTTTATTGACAATAAAAACGACTAAAAAGAACCTGAACACGATGATGATGGTGATAATCTTAAATATAACTGTATTGATAACGACTGTGATGATGATGAATTACGACAACTACAATGTCATTATACCAATTTTATACTATTCAGTTCTTAGTTTCAAACCGAGTCGCTATCCCGTTTTTATTCTAGATATGAACATAACTTCAGGACAAAGTAAAAACGGTCTACTATCGTCATTGACATTCATTAAGCAGTTTCGGACTATTTGAGGCGATAAGTGTACCAAGTTTCAAAGGGATAGACCTTGACGTTTTTACATGTATAACCTTTTGTGTGTAATTAAATTACTAAAGGTCCAAAACATTCAAAAGCATGCGGAAACAATCCTTTATTAATTAACTTTGCAGAAAACAAAACAAAACAAAACACACACATTTGTAAATAGTTCTTGTTGTGTATCATAATGTAATTGATATAAGACGAAAAGATGAGATCAGAGTAATATGTTGTGATTTGATAATTATGCTCAATATTGTTTGGTAATCTGTATATTGGAAATCGCTTCGACTGATATTTTGCTCAGTGGGGAGGAAGGACGGGGGCGGAGGAGAAGGGGGGGGGGGTAGTGACAACTTATTATTACATTTTGTTTGTTCCCGCATATGGGAAAATCGCGTCGACCAATATTTCGCTTGGTTGGTTGGGGGAGGGGTTAAAGGAGCATTTATTATTTTTCATGCAGCACAACCCCTCCCCAACCCTTGAGCAAAAAAAAAATTAAAAAGTGAGGTGGGTTTAACACAATTTGTAAATAGTTCTTGTTGTATATCATAATGTAATTGATAAGACGAAAAGATGAGATCAGAGTAATATGTTGTGATTTGATAATTATGCTCAATATTGTTTGGTAATCTGTATATTGGAAAATCGCCTCGACTGATATTTTGCTCAGTGGGGAGGAAGGACGGGGGCGGAGGAGAGGGGGGGGGGGGTAGTGACAACTTATTATTACATTTTTATTTGTTCCCGCATATGGGAGAATCGCGTCGACCAATATTTCGCTTTGTTGGGGGGGGAGGGGTTAAAGGAGCTTTAATTCTTTTGTTTATGCAGCACAACCCCTCCCCAACCCATGAGCAAAAAAATAAATAAAAAGTGAGGTGAGTTTAACCCCCCCCCCCCCAACCATGTGTTCGCGACTGATGTAGAGCCCCAGACTCAGTGTTATTGGAGACTTACAGTTTTCGACATTCTTTTATTGATTGACACTGTAGCTTGATTCACACTTTTGTTATTTTGGAAAATAGAATGATTCATAGAGCAAAGTTTGTTCGTCAGTTCCTCGCTTTGAATCAACTAATAAAGGTCAATGAACTAAAATTAACATTTTGACTTTTCATCGGGGATCGAATGGAATGGAAATGCGAAGCCTGAGTTGAAAGGTAGGAGGTTTGAAGAAATCTTACCTCCGTCACAGGTTAAATTAGCTGGACAGGTGCATGTACCCGACTCACAAGTCTCTTCGTATCGGCAGCCCGCGTTATCGGTACAGTTGACTGTAAAGAACCAATGGCAATTGTGAACAAGTATGAGATGGTCTGTATTTAAGTTCTTTTATTGACAATAAAAACGACTAAAAAGAACCTGAATACGATGATGATGGTGATAATCCTAAAGATAACTGTATTGATAACGACTGTGATGATGATGAATTACGACAACTACAATGTCATTTTTACTAATTTTATACTATTCAGTTCTAAGTTTCAAACCGAGTCGCTGTCCCGTTTTTTTCTAGATATGAACATAACTTCAGGACAAAGTAAAAGCGGTCTACCTTAGTCATTGACATTCACCGAGCAGTTTCGGACTATTTGAGGCGATAAGTGTACCAAGATTCAAAGGGATAGACCGTGCCGTTTTTACATGTATAACATTTTGTGTGTAATTGAATTACTTAAAGTCCAAAATATTCAAAAGCATTTGGAAAACATCCTTTAATAATTACCTTTACAGAAATAATGACGGTTTTGAAGCAAAATAAGGCGTATGATGGCTCTAAACAAGACGCGTGTGACCACTTATTTTTTATTTTTTTGTTTACCTCCGCAAATGGAAAAATCGCTCAGATATTTTCACTTTGTAAACAGTTCTTGTTGTGTATCATAATGTTATTGATAATAGGAAAAGATTACATCAGAGTAATAAGTTGTGATTTATAATTATGATCAATATTGTTTGTTATTCTTTACTAATTGTACATTAAAAACAATGAAATGCATATGTGACTTGAAATGATTTAAGCATCAACTTTATAGGGCCTGATATCTCAGTGCTTCTATTCAGCGTGGTGCATTGCTAGAATTTCAACGTCCTTGTTCTTTGATCCTGATATATCTTTTAGTTGTTTGATCTTTTTATGATCTATAAATTACATACCTAATGGTTAAGGATTGTCTTTGCGGGATATGCCAAAAGTCTGTTCAGGTAAATCAAAAAGGTCTATTATGCACACAGTGTAGAAAATTGGTGCATAAATCATGCGCTCATGTGTCTGACGCATCATATAATGATCCCTCTGAAGTATTCATAGCGTGGATCTGCACATTCTGGCCCGATTCACAAAGGAAGTTTGACGACAGACCGAGGTTTATGTACGTCATATGACGCGTTTTGACGCATTTTTTACAAACCTAGTTTGTAAAAACGCGTCGAAACGCGTCATATGACGCACGAAAACCAAGGTTTGTCGACAAACCTCCTTTGTGAATTTGGGCCGTTGTGTTTTGAAACAGTTACCCTTTTATCACAATCATCCATCATAATTGGAGAGAAGTAAACGACCGTAGAAACGGGATAGGCATTTTAATAAAAACAAGTAATCAGTCCTGTTGAATATACTCTAAATTATGTGATAAAGGTGTCAAATTTGTTCATTTGAACATCGTTAGCTTATTGAAGCATTTTGATGAAATTGGGTCTATATTATGCAATAATGATATTCACGTTTTAGCTCTAAATGAGACCGGCTTGATAATTCATTTGCAGATAGTGAAATAAGTATACCTCATTACAATGTAATTAGAAATGATAGAGACAGAATAGGTGGAGGAGTTGGCATATACATAAATGACAATGTTACATTTGAAAAGTTAATAGTGCCTAGTTCAGTAGATCAACTTGAAGTTATTTGCATTCTGATTCGTTTAAAGCATACTTACAAAGCCTTTTATTTTTATAAATTGGTATCGACCGCCAAGTAAAACACATCTACTGGAGTCCTATGAAGAATTGTTGTTATATTTAGGAGGATTTTATACTCTTTTTTGATGAATGCTTCGAGTAATTATTATGTAAACGTACATTGTACATTGTAAAGCGCTTTGAGAGTGCCTTCGGTCCTGAAATGCGCTATAAAAGAACGAACTATTATTATTATTATTATTATATATTAATAATATTAATCGGCGATGTTAATTATAACATTGCCAAGCTCCCACTTACTTGCGATACTCGTAAATATTCACAAATTGATATATATGGTTTGTGTCAAATTAATAAATCTGTTTACACTCGAGTAACGCCTGAGTGCTCATCATTAATTGATCACATGTTAACAACTTGCCCAGACAAAGTAAGCTCTTTTGGTGTCTTACACAATGGTTTGAGTGATCATTATATGATTTACTTAGTCTGGAAAGCTCAGGTCAATCATGATGATTCTTTTGTAAATTATGTAATATTTAGACAATCTCATCAGGTAGACTTTGAAAAGTTGAATGCCGATCTTAGATCGCAGAAATGGAATGAGGTAGAAGAAGGTATTGACCTCAATAACGCTGTAAACAAATGGGAAGTAGTCTTTTTAGACACAATAGACAAATACATGCCGTTGAAGAAGAAAAGGGTACGCAAAAACACTCCCCTAGGTTGAATGAATGTATATTTAAGCTCATGAAAGATCATGATAAAATGAAAGGTAAAGCAAAGACGAAAAAACAAAACGTTTACTGGAAACAATACAAACACTTGAGAAATAAAGTAATGTTTGAAATAAGGAGAGTAAAGAAAAAATATTTCGTTGAAAAACTAGATGCTTGTACGGATAGAGCGAAATATTGGAGAGTATTAAAAACACTAATTCCCAATACGAAATCAGCTACTTATTTTTCCTTCCCTATCGATGAATGTAAAAGAGTAGCAAATGATTTAACGAACATTTTGTCGATGTTGGAAAACAATTCGATAGCAGTAAGGGTCACGTAATAAATGTATCGGTTACGAAGAGTTTGAAAGTACAGAAGCCATTGTGAGCAAAGAAAACATCTTTTCTGTTCCTGTGATTAAACAGTCAGATGTTCTGAAAGAAATCTATCGATTAAAGAATAAGATATCAGTTGGGGTTGATGAAATAGATTCTTACATGCTGAAAGCCTGTGCACTGGAAATTGTGAAACCTCTCACATATTTAATTATAGGTCATTGTCTGAAGGTAGAGTCCCTTCCAGATGGAAGGTGGCTAAGGTCATCCCCCTACATAAAAAGGGTAATAAAGCTTTAGCTAATAATTACAGACCGATATCTTTATTAACGTGTTTGTCCAAAATTTTAGAAAACATTGAACAAAAACACTCAATTCGATTTTTGGAAAAAACAACATTTTAACCAAAGATCAATCGGGATTCAGGCCGAATGGCTTCAATTAGTTGAGAAGGGTTTATAATTATACAGGAGCCCTTTATGTCGATCTGCGAAAAGCATTAGATTTGGTCGATCACAGAATTCTCTTGAGAAAATTGTCTGATTTTGGTATAAAAGGTATAATGCATAAGTGGTTTTATTAATATTTGGTTAACCGTCAAATGTTTACTTCGATTAAAATGTTTCTTCCAATGAATTGATATTAACGTATGGTGTCCCTCAAGGCTCCAAACTTGGCCCAATTTTATTTCTAATATACAACAATGATTTAGCTAATGCTTTTCATTATTACCATCTACATTTATATGCAGATGACACAGTTATTTATTTCTCAAATGTAAACCCTATTGTTGTACAGTCTGTTCTTAATAATGAATTAATTTCTCTATCTGATTGGATGTGCCATAACAAACTTTATATAAATTGTGAAAAAACAGTATCTATGTTAATGGGAACGAAGTCAATGCTTCATAAACATCAAACATTAAACTTAAAACTAGGTGGTAATGTTATTAATCAGGTTCAGAACATGAAATACCTAAGAATGAATATAGACTCTGAATTAAAATGGGACTTATATTTATGTGAAGTAATTAGCAAAGTAGTAGCCAAAGATTTTTTGGTTTTGTTTTGTGCCTCTAATGAGGTGTTTATTTACATTCAAACATCAAAATAAAGTTGTGAGAACAAAATAATACAATTGACGCATAATGTTATCAATAGAGATCACATATTTTTTATCAACTATACAATATTTTGCTACTTTTCATCTAAAGTGCTTGTAACAGTTTCTTTGACAAACTCTGATCTGGCTTTTTAAGCTCCTGATTTACAACAATTCTGTTTTTGATTTCTCTTTCAAATACGTATCTTAGTTTGAAACGGTTTTCATTAAATCAATACTTATTCCAGGTGACTAACATTTTGTATATACACCAGAATGCGATCGTTGTTACAACGTCTATCTCTCTGTCAATATTAATCTTAAGTAAACAGGAGATATCCATGACAAAATCAATATTAAAAGTGTACTTCACAACATGTTTGATATAATCAAAGAAATTCTTATTCTGTTCACAGTCGATAAACACATGCACTATGTCCTCTATGACATGACACTTGGGACAGTATCTGTCGTCTGCTAATCCCCATTTGTAAAGATTATTTCCAACAGGTAGTATGTTGTACAGCAATTTAAAATTGAACTCCCTTAAGCGATGTTCCCTTGTATATGTTAAATTCCTTTTGAACACGAAGACCAGTCAACAGTTCTTTGTACTATATTTTCCCAAAAAAGACAGCACCTGTTGTTGTTGAATATATGTTTAAAAGATATCAGGTTGTAGAAACGTTTGCTGCTTATGTCACTGATAGGTAAGGACACTCTTCCAAATTTAAAATAAGAAATTCCAAGAGGGTGAATATAATATACTGGTTCAGTTTCTTCCTTGGTAAGATCACTGAACCATATATTTGGGATAGCTTTCTTCAATTTATCAATTTAGTATAATCGAATAAACAAAGATGGTAAACTTTTTGGGAAGGCTGAGACACATTTTAAATGAATCTTTTCTCTAATGTATCAATCAATTTATTAATTAATAGTCATTCCTCATTTTGATTATGGTGACATTATATGGCAAGCCTTCCAAAAAAAAATATCTGGACCAACTTCAAAAACTTCAAAATAGGGCTGGTAGGATAATCATTAAGATAAACCCACATAATCCTACTTAAACATTTCAGATTCACGATCTCTTAAAATGGGAATCCCTAAAAACCAGATGTAAAAAGCACATGTTCATAATGCTGTATAAGATTTTCCACAATTTAAGTTTAGATTACGCCTACTTTT